TTAAAAAAAGACAAATAATGTTTACTCGTCTCCTAAGAAGAAGATGGTGGGTTTTTTGGGTTCAGTAATTTCCACAGTTCCTTCCAGCATCTTAGCAACCTTCCCCATGGACGGCCTCATCTCCGGCTGAGCTTGCAGGCACCACATTGCCGTCTTCACCATCCGGTCGATCATATGGAAATGAATCCGGGCGTCATAGCAGTGCTTAATTTGACGGTCCAAAATGTCCTCCACATCCATCTCCTTAAACACCTTATTGAATGCCCACCCTGGAAGATACCAGTCTTCACTGTTCATAGACCCTTGAGTCTCAGAGTTCCTAACCCCATTCACTATCTCTAGCAACACCATCCCAAAACTATACACGTCTGCTTTTGGTGTAATCACATCCAAACTTAGCCATTCCGGCGCCATGTATCCACGGGTACCCCGCCTCTGAGACATACGAACAACATCCTCCTTTTTCCTTAGCTTAGCTAACCCGAAATCTGAAATCTTGGGGCAGAAGTCATCCCCCAAGAGTATGTTTTCCGGTTTAATGTCACAATGTAGAACCCATTCCAAGCACTCCTCATGTAAATATGCAATTGCTCTTGCCACACCGAGAGCGATCCGGTATCGAATATTCCAATCAAGTACCGGAATATTCGTTGACTCTGTGATTGGTTCTCGAGATCCGACCCGCTTGCGAAAAAGGTATTTATCAAGAGAGCCATTAGGCACATATTCGTAGACCAAAATTCTTTGGCCTTTCTCGGCGCAGAAGCCCCATAACCGGACGAGGTTGAGGTGGTGCATCCGGGAAATGATCGTCACCTCCGCCCAGAATTCCGCATCCCCTTTTGTGACGTTCTTCAAGCACTTGACGGCCACGATGCGGTGGTCAGTTAATTCTCCTTTGTAAACGTCACCGAAGCCACCTTTTCCGATCAGATTGGAGAAGTCACCTGTGGCGGCTTTGAGTTCGCCGTAGGTGAACCGTTTTGGCCCCCCAGAAGGCAAGAATTGAAGACCAAAGGTTTGCGCCATTGTTCTGTACTTGATGTATTTCTTCACAAATACGCTGAAGAAAAGACCACCGGAAATCAACTCGACGGTGACAAGAGTACAGATTATGATTATATTTCGAGTCGTTGTGTTCGATTCTTCTGGTGGGGATGGGAGTTTTATCCGAACGGGGCATGTCGTGTTCAACAGCTCTGTTAATCCAATGAAGTTGGATTCATCCGTCTCCGATCTGTCGACGCGGAGGAAGAATGCCGCTTGGGTTCCCGGCGACCAATACCCATATAGCATCCGATCCAGCTGGAGCACACAGTACCCTTTCCCGTCGTACTTAAACTGAAACCCCAGACAACTCATATTGGCGAGGCATCTGTGTTGACACATGGAAAGGTTCGAGACCTGCAGATCGCTCTGATTGGATCCACCTGTGAAGTTGACATAATCTAGCCGAATAAACTTGAAATTCCCAGGACTTGGAGGGATTTTGATCTCGCAACCGCCTTCTTCTCTGTTAGCTTTCTTGAATCCCGGGGGGCAAACGCAGGATGTGTTGGAACTTAACCCATCGTTGATGCAGATAGCATTAGGCCCGCAGGTTCCATGGATTGTGCAAATCTGTTGCACCGCTTCCCAAGCAACATCCCATTTCCGAGTATCGGGATCGAAACTGTAAATCCTCAGATTTCCATCTTCGTCGAGCTTCAATCTCCTCAACCTGTCTTCATCAAAATCTGCAGAAAACAACCGATTCCCATTCATTTGAATCACCGTACCGTCGACGTCCAGTTTCTGAAACCCATTTTCGGCGGTCCAGTAGATCTCAGAAGGGTTAAAAAACAAATTCTTGCCATTCCGAAAACTGAATTTCCCATTCGCCGACACCATCACCGTGGACCTCGCACTCATGTTCTGGGTCGGTAAAATCGTATCAGTTGGATAATCAAAACTCTGCCAGGAGGTTCCGTTGTACACAAGATTTCCTTGCTTACTCAAAATCAACCTCGTAGAGTTGGGATTTCCAGTAGCCGCCACCGGATGCCAGACGTTGATCCCAACCGAGTTCATCAAACAGAGGCTGCCGTTGCTTGTTATGACCAGAGAGGCATTTTGATCGATGCTTGTTATGACCAGAGAGGCATTTTGATCGAGCGGGGAAGGGGCATTAGCGGACCAAACGACAGTTTTCTCGGACACATTCTGGTACCAAATTGAGAAAGTATAGTTGTTTTGAGAAGTGGGTAATGGACGAAAACCAGCGGCAAAGACGCCATTAGAGGAGAGGAGGGTCTTGTTTTGGGTTGGCTTCCATGGGGAGTTGGAGATTGAGAAGGATTGTAGTTGGGATGATGATGAGGGTGAGGGCTTTGAAAAGAGAGAAACGAAGAAGAGGAAGGGAATCAGAAAGGGAAGAGACATTGTTTTGGCTGGAGGTAAGGTCTGTTACGGTGAAATTGTGGAATGGGAGTGAGGGGAGGTTAAGCTTAGTGATGGTCTTTAATGGCGGCCATCGGGAGGATTGTTTCTGCGTTGACCAAGAACTTGACTCTGAATTTGTGGTTGTAACTTGTAAGTAGTTGCCACGGAATATTCTTGCCCTGTCGGGTTGGGCACGTCGACTTCGAATTTATTTCTTCCCTCTGTCTAGGGTAATTGAATTTTTTGATTAATGGCTGAATTGAATTTCGTGCAAATAAAATAACTTGATGATGTCATTTTTTAATAAAAATAATTTTTTTT